TGTAGTATGAATTACCATGATTTGTTCAGCCATTTCTCTTGTGGGGAACCTTGAGGTTGCTTTCAAATTTTCAATATTTTGAACAATGCTGCAGCAAACACCCTTATATATGCTCTGGAGCACATGAGTGTATGCTTTTCTGGATAAATACATACTAAAATAAAATTGCTAGGGCAAAAGTTATGTGCGTCTTTAATCTTGACAAATGCAGCCTTAAAAAGTGGTGACAATTTACAGTCCTACCAACATTGAATGGGAGTGTGGCATCCCCTACAGTTCATCACTGATTTATTAACCATTCATTAATGTCTTTCCAGTCCTATGGGAGATAAATGATTTTCCATTGTTGTGTGAATTTGCATCATCCTGATTTCTGTGAAGCTGTGCTCATTTTTCTTATGTTTATTGATCATTTGACATCTTTTTCTGTAAATGGCCCAGATAAATTACTTGACCATTTTTTTCTAATAGACTATTTCCTTTTTAAAAAATCATTTATTATTGCATTATATATAATTTTTTTACCATTTTAAAAAGTTTTTTCTTCAATTTTTTTTTTAATTTTACCTTGATCTTGGTCCTTTTGTCCTACAAAAGGCGTTAGCTTTAATATAGTCGTATATATCCTTTGTCTTTCCTTTACAGCTCTAGTTTTATATCTTGCTCTTCCCAAGCTCAGGATTATAAAAATATCATCCTATATTTCCTTTTAGTACTTTTATCATTTTATAGTCTACGATTTTCTCTCTAATCCATTTGAAAATTATTGTCATTTATGATGAAAGATAGGAATTTAACTTAATTTTATTCCAAATAGATGATTTATGGTCACCCATCTACTTAACTCCATTTATTGACCAGATCCACCTTTTTCCATTTAGAATGCTCCCATTATCATAAACTCTACCACTATGTATATGTGGGTCTTCTTGTGCACTCTTGATTCCATTGTTCTCTGATTTTCAGTCATTTGAATATCATCTTCACCATTTCTGTTATATTTATATTCTGTTTACTTACTTAATATTTTAGCATAATACATTTTAAGATTAAATACCTACTTCTGCCTTATCCTAAGTACATAAAATCATAGGTTTAAATTTTTTCTAGTAAACATTAAAATAAGTACATAACTTTCAAAATGACAAATGTTTATTTATGTACCATTTAAAATCACCTTACAAATCACAAGTGGAATGTGGAGGCATTTTGGGGAAATGCTACTGTATTTTTCGCACCGATGGATTTGTCCTCATCGGGGACAAAACCTCATTGCAGCTTCATGGCATGTTTTGTTGCTGTTGTTAATGTCTTATTTTGAAATAATTTTTGACTCAAAAGAAGTTGTAAAAATAGTACAGAGAGGTTCTGACAGAGAGGTCCTATGTATCCATCACCCACCTTCTCCCAAAAGTGACATTTTACATATCTATAAAACATTATCAATTAGTTTTGGTTTGTTTTTAGATTTTATTTACTTATTTTTCAGAGAGAGAGAGCACAAGCAGGGAGAGCGGCAGGCAGAGGGAGAAGTAGACTCCCTGCTGAACAAGGGGCCCCATGTGGGACTCGATCCCAGGACCCTGGGATCATGACCTGAGCCGAAGGCAGACTTTAATGGACTCAGCCACCCAGGTGTCCCTCTATAAGACATTATCAAAAGCAGGAAATTGACATCAGTACAATATAATTGACTAGACTACAGACCTTCCTCAAATTTCACCCATTTTTACATTCACTCATTTTTTTGTCTTTATATATAGTTCTATGACACTTTACCACATTTATAGATCTGTATATCCACCACCACAAATCGAGAACTGTTCTGTCACCATCAAGGAACTTCCTCATGCTACCCCTTGATAGTCACACCCTCCCTTACCTAACCTCTGGCAACCATGGATCTGTTCTCTTCTTCTATAACTTTGTCATTGTGATCATTGTTATATATCTTGGGGACCGACTTTGGTTTTCTTACTCAGTAGAATTCCCTGGAGATTCATCCAAATTGTCGTGTCTGTCAATAGTCATTCCTTTTTATTGCTAATATCCCATGGTATAGCTCTACCCCAGTTTGCTTAACCACTCACCCATTGAAAGACATTCGGCTTGTTTCCATGTGGGAGCTATTATAAATAAAGCAGCTGTGAACATTCATGTGCAGATTTTGCCGTGAACCTAAGATTTTGTTTCTCTCAGATAAAGGCCTAGGAGCGTGGTCACTGGGTTCTATGGTAAGTGTATGTTTAACCCTTTAAGAAACTGCCAGGTCATTTTCCAGAGTGGCTGCACCATGTACATTTCCACTGGCAGTGTATGAGAGATCGAGTTTCTCTGCATCCTCACCAGCCTTTGACACTCTCAGTATTTTTTATTTTAGCTATTCTAATATGTGTCTCTTATGGTTTTAACTTGCCTTCCCCAATGGCTAGCGATGTTGAATATCTTTTCCTATGCTTATTTTTATGGCAGGTTTTGATATCTGGCGGGCAAGTTGCCTTTCTTATATGATTCCTGCCTTCCCTAAACCTGAGAGGAAGAGCTGACCTTGTCTGTTCCCTGAGGCAGGAATGCTTGTCTCGGCTCTTCTACAAAGAGGAAAGGACGGGGGACATGTGTGATTTGACCCCAGTGGTCGGGAACGCAGGCTCCAGTGGTCTCCAGAGGCTCACCGAGGAGATGTGAAACTGCTATCACCACATATGACACCCACCACCCTTCCTCCAGTCTACACCCCCCAAAACACTTTTAATAAAATCAAGGCCTTTAGGGGCGCCTGGGTGGCTCAGTCATTAAGCGTCTGCCTTTGGCTCAGGTCATGGTCCCAGGGTCCTGGGATCGAGCCCCGCATCGGGCTCCCTGCTCGGCGGGAAGCCTGCTTCTCCCTCTCCCACTCCCCCCTGCTTGTGTTCCCTCTCTCAGGTCTTTCTCTGTCAAATAAATAAATAAATAAATAAAATCTTAAAAAAAAAATCAAGGCCTTTAGAGATGGAGTCACTTGGGTGTTGTGAGGAAGTTCTGAGACAGATCTTGCAATTGGAAATAATAGGACCTGAGCAAAGGGAACCCAGTCAATGGGGTTGCAAATACTACCTCCCCACCTTTTCGGAATGTAGAAAGTATCAGAGAGGGAAAGTTTGAGTTGTTCCAAAAGGCCTGTGGTTCCCACCACCACCTCAAGAGCAGGGCCCATGTCCATCTGATAAGCTCTGCCCAGTCCCCTCACAAGACACGCCTAGTGAGGGGAAGACCACCTCTGAGAGTGACTGTATTCCCTGACCCAGACACAGCTTCTCCCCAGGCTCGACTGAGCACCTCTGAGGGCAGGGGCAGGACCTGCGAGCCAGGAGCCTACAAGGAGCTAACACATACCCTGGAGGAGGAAATGTGAGCAGGCCCTGGCAGGAGCCAGGAAGAACCATCTCATAAACCATATGGTGGAGGATTCAGAGGGACAGGGGTCAGGGTCACCCTCTAGAGCAGGGATTCTAAAAGCAGAATCCACAGTGGTGAGGCTCACAGGAGTCCCCTGACAGATGGCACATCCCAAATGCAAGTCTTTTCCTCTGCCTTCCAGGGCACTGAGGAACCTGTCCAGAAGATTCCATTTTTTTATACCCATGACCCAAGTTCTCTTCATTATAACCTATCCATTGAATCATTAAGTATTACCAAAAGATGGTATTCATAAAGTAAAGTAAGGGTGTTTATACAGCTGATGGAACACTGTCAGTGTGGCCTCGGGTGAGTTACTTAAAATGTGTTCCTTCACTTCCCTATCTGTAGAATGGGACTCATAGGGACACCTGGGTGGCTCAGATGGTTAAGCGTCTGCCTTCGGCTCAGGTCATGATCCCAGGGCCTGGGATCGAGTCCCGCATCGGGCTCTCTGCTCCTTGGGAGCCTGCTTCTCCCTCTGCCTCTCTCTCTCTCTCTCTCTGTCTCTCATGAATAAATAAATAAAAAATCTAAAAAAAAAAAAAAGAATGGGACTAATAATAATCCAGCTTCACTGAGACATTGGGAGGGTTCAAGTGCTGAAAACAGTGCCTGGCCCAGAGCAAACACAGCAGAGGTGTCAGCTTTTATTATGCCTAAAACATGAGCAGCCCTGCCATACGCTTCTGGAGGGTGAACATGGATCATCTCTGCCCCTATAGTTAAAGCTGATGTATATACAGAAGCCCCCCCTCCAATTCATATTTTACTTTTGCGAACATTTTGTTTTTGTTTCTCAGTTCTTTGAGTGGGAATATCCGGTGAATATAGGCTGCAAGGTTTTCAACCTCTCTTAAGTAGGCTTCAAAATATTGGAGACTCTATGCATGGATGGTATTGGGTTAGGACCCAGGAGGGTGGTCCTATTGCTCAGAACTAGGTACATGGCGAGTGGTAGAAATCTCCCCTCTGGAAGGCACCCCAGCAGCTTGATTGGTGGCAGTGGTCCTTGGGCTCTTTCCTGGGGATCCCAGCTCCCCAGGCTGCCCTCCACCCCATACTAGCTAGCCTCTTCGCGGACCCCAGGAGGGTCTGTGGACTGAGTGCTCACCCATGCGTGCACACCTGTCCACAGGGCTCAGGACCTGGCTCTGGACATCTCCTCCAGTAAGCCTTACCTGACTGATCAGACCCAATTCTAACCCATCCTCTCCTCTATACTTGAGGACTTGGTATATCTCTTTCCATTTGTCCTTTTACTCTGCTGAGGGAATAGAATCCTGGCTGGGTCAGAGCAAATCCTTTCTGCCCAGACTATGGCAGTGGACTTGAAATTTGTAATGAGGCCCATTCACATATATATGCCGAATAGATACAACATACTGCATTGAGTGATTAAGGAAGCTAGGCCCAGAGAGGGCAAGCCACTTGTCAGAGGTCACAGAGCCAGACCCAGGCCCAAAGAGCTCCCCATTAGATCACACTACCTCTTGTGAAGATGATTGTTGGTGGCCTAACTCCTTACCTAGTGAACTAACCAGCCTCTTTTCATGGCCCTGCAGATGCCAAAGGGACCATCCGGGAGATCATCCTGCCTAAGGGTCTGGACCTGGACCGGCCCAAGCGGACCCGCACATCCTTCACGGCCGAGCAGCTCTACCACCTGGAAATGGAGTTCCAGCGCTGTCAGTACGTGGTGGGCCGGGAGCGCACCAAGCTGGCCCGCCAGCTGAACCTCTCCGAGACCCAGGTAAGCCCGTAGGGCCAGGCCGCTCCACCCCTGCCCTGCAGCCTGGGGACTTTGTGGGGTATGAGACCTCTGGGCTGCTAAAGGGAGACCCAGCTTTGGAGGAGTTCAGACATGCGTTAGGGAAAAGCTTAGAGGTAAACCAGAGTAGTAAATATAGTGAGGACAAGAGAGCGCTGGCGTAGGCCAATAGGGGGCCCCGCGACTGCATCAGGCACTTTGGGGTGGAATATGGGAAACGGCCAGAGAAATAGGAAGGAGGGGCATCCAGGATGCAGGGAGTGACTCAGGGAGGTGTTGGTGTGGGAGGGACCCTGCAGTAAACGATGGGGAGGGGTTGGCTTGCCAGGAGCAAAGATTCCAGGGACGAGAAGAAACATTACAGAATTGGGTTGAGGACTTCTCATTTCCCCATTCTGGGCCTTTCCCCACCCTCCATACATTCCCTCCATACATACCCTTGATCCCACTGTGCCTCAGAAGTTCTTGCTGGAGAGAAGGAGTCTGAACACCCCCTTCACCCAGGAAGGGCTTAGCATTTTAACAATAATAAGCTTAAGCCAAAGGAAAAGCGTTTGCACTCTGTGTGAATGGAGGCATTTCAAGCTGGTAACAGAGATTCAGGATAACGATAGTGATAATAAGACCACCGAGTACTCAGTGTGCCCAGGAGCTGCTCTGAGGGCTCCGCATATGGTAATTTACCAATGCCTCCCAGCAACCCAGTGATGTAGCTCCCTGTATTATCCCATTTTACAGAGGAGGAGAGGTTATGCCCAAGGTCATACAACTAATAAGCCCCAGGGCTAGGACTTGGGCAAGCAGTCTGGCATCTTCATGCTACCTATAAACTGGCAACCATCCTGGAGCTTTTAAGGAATGACTCGGGGACCCTTAGTTGAGCAAGAGCTCTGGTAGGTTAATGTCATATATGAGGGAGCTCAGTCAATAAATGTATGACAACGGCCAAAGCAGGACTTAGAGCGGGAAGAGGCAAAGAAGGAGAGGAGTGAGTAGGCAGACAGTCTGGAAGGGGGCGCTGCCTGGGGAAGGCGCGGGTGGATAAGGGAGGCCCCGCAGTGCCTGGCACCCTGCAGCGACGTCAGGGGTGGCTGAGGTCCTGCGGGCCTGGGCCATCTCCGCCTGGACCTCTTGTCCTGCTGCTGCCAGTTGCTGAGTCCCGAGAGCAACCCTGCAGACGGCCTGGGCCAGCAGGGGCCCTTGCTGCAGCTATGCTGGGTCTGGAGGCTGGAAAGCCGGGTCCTGCCAGACAGAGGGCTGTGGTGGCTGGGCCAGGCCAGAGCTCCTGGGGGGAAAGTCAGGCATAGAGTCACCCCTTGATACCTGCCCCTCCCTGTCCTAACTGCCCTCTGCCTGGCCTAGTTTTGCCCGCACACTCTACCCTAAAGCTCTGCTCTCCAAGGGCACCTCAGATGCCCAGGCTCCTTCTCGGTCCTCATCCTTCCCCTGCTCTGCCTCCTAGACACCCTACGTGTACCTGCCCTTGATGGTCAAGGTCAAACCCCTCCTCTTCCAGGAAGACTTCCGTAAGACCTCATTCCGCGAGACCCTTCCACATGGCTTGGTAAAGTGTGTGTGTATATGTGTGTGTGTGTGTGTTTGTGTGTGTGTGGTGTGGTGGGCACCAGCTAGCGCCCAACTTCCCACGGACAAGAATGTGTTTGAAAGCCCCATCTCCTTTTCAGGTCTCCTTGGGGAGCTTAGCACACAACTGGGCAAACAGAGACCCCTCAGTGAATCCTCAACTTACTGACTCTTGCTTACCCCCGTCCTTTCTCTGTCCCCAGCCCCAGGTCTTACAGATACTCTAAGGCACAGTTAACCTTTACGGAGACCTTCCTCTGTACCAGGCTCTAAGTACTTGACGTGGCCTAAATTATGTAGTCCTCACCAAGACCTCGTGGGAGGGGAGTGAGGTTTTTCTTCCGACCACACTTCTGACACCCAATGTGTGGTGTTTCCCAACACCAACAGCAACCAATTCTGCCATTCTCTCTCACCAGCTGGGTGTCAAACTAGTCAATGCAATTCTGACGCCAACTCCTGCTGTGAGCACAGACGACGCGGTGTAAGCCTCAGTCCCACAGGACAGTCTCCCATCAGGTGCCAGATGCAAGTCCCCAGGGGCCACCTGTACTTCTGACTGGCCAGCTCTAAAATTGGGGGCTCCCACATCTCCCTCCTCAGGTTTGGCAATGTGTTGGAATGACTCGCAGAACTCAGGAAAACATTTTCCTTTCTTTTTTTTTTTTTTTTAAGATTTTATTTATTTATTTGACAGAGAGAGAGAGAGAGAGAGATCACAAGTAGGCAGACAGGCAGGCAGAGGGAGAGGGAGAAGCAGGCTCCCTGCTGAGCACAGAGCCCGATGTGGGGCTCGATCCCAGGACCCTGGGATCATGACCTGAGCCGAAGGCAGATGCTTAACCATCTGAGCCACCCAGGCGTCCCACATTTTCCTTTCATTTACAGGTTTATTGTAAAGGATAGAACTCAGAAATAGCCCAATTTGGTGGCAGGGGAGATAGAGCCAAATGGAAGAGATGCATAGAGCAAGATGTTGGGGTGGGGGTGTTCGAGGAGCTTCTATACCATTTCTGGGTGTGCCACCCCCCAGCATGCTCATCAACCCAGAAGCTCTCTGAATCCTACTGTTGAAGAGTTTTTATAAGCCAGCCGCATTCCCTCCCAGGAGGGCAGGGGTGGGGGCTCCAAACCTCTAATCACAGGTGTGGTCTTTCTGGGACCAGTGCTCCTGAAACTGTGCAAGGCCCACTGAGTCACCTTGTTAGCATAAACTCAGGTGTGGCTTAAAGGGGCCTTTTATCAGTGACAGAAGACAGTCCTCTCACTCAAGGAGTTCCAAGGGTTTTAGGGGCTCTGTATCAAGAACCAGGGACAAAGGTCAAATATGTACACTTTTTAAATACCAGAATAGGCCTTTATTATTTCTGCTTTAAAGAGAGGGAAACTGAGGCACAAAGCAATTAAATAACATGCTCAAAATTTAAGGTAGGCATATGTGGGGCACCTGGTTGGCTCAGTCAGTGGAGAATGCGACTCTTGATCTCGGGGTCATAAGTTCAAGGCCCACACTGGGTATAGAGATTATTTAAAAATAAAATATTTTAGGGGCCACTGGGTGGCTCAGTTCGTTAGCATCGGCTCTTAATCTCATCTTAGGTCTTGATCTCAGGGTCATGAGTTCAAGCCCAGCATGGAGCCTACTTAAGAAAAAAAAAATCCTTAAAAAAATTAAAAATCAAGAAGGCACATTCATTAGCTCATCTAATCTATAAAAAGATGGTTTTATGGGTAATACTATCCCCATTTCAGGAAACTCAGAGGGGTTAGTAACTTGCCCTAGGATATACAGCTAAAATTTGGTGGAATTCTCTGTATATTCACCCATACCTCTGTTCAAAATTATTACTGAATGCCTACTATGTGCCAGGAGATACATAGTATCTTTTGAGATCTTTGAGGAGATGAATGACAGTGGGCTGAGGTGTGAATGACAGGGAAGAGTCAGCCAGAGGAAGAGCCAGAAGAAGAGGAGTCAAGACTCAGGGTAACTGTGAAGACCTGGAGGTGAGAACTAGCATAGAATGTTCTGGAAGTGTCCGAAGGCCAGTGTGGCTAGAGTTGGAAAGTAATAGGAAGGTAGGTGGGGCAGAGCAGATAGTGTCTAGAGGCCCTGGTGAGGTGTTGAAGGGAGGACTGCTGGCATTTTACAGAGGTCACTCTGACATCTGGAGAATGGGGACGAGAGGACGAGGTGGGGCCACTGCCATGTTGTCTCAGACTCTGAGTGATGGTGGAGGAGAGAAGTGAACTGATCTGAGACGTACTCTAATTTGGAGAACCTGTTAGGACTTGCTCATCATGAATTACGTGCACAGGGCAAGGGAGAGAAGTGGCTGGGGCTGGAACAGGTGTATGGTGAAAAATGGTCACTGATGCCACGTCAACAGGTTGAGAAAGCTGGGGAGGAGCAGGACAGTGGGAGAAGAACCTAGAGTTTTGTTTTGGATCAGTTCAGTTTGAGATCCAAGGGGAGAGGTCAGGAAGATATGTCAGAGTTTTCTCTGGGGGTTGGTGTTTCTCTGATTTACCTAAGTGTCTTGGTCTGGGCTCTTCTGGGGGAAAGGATAAGAGATTCCTTCAAGTGTGCTCAAATGACAGATGGACTCTGAAGGGGTAAAACAGGAGACACAATCTTGTGGAAATCCAAGAACAGGAACCATGGTGTAGCCAGGCCTAGTAGACAGCGGAAGCTGAAGGTCATTTTGGACCCAAGGACTTCAGTGCCACGTGCAGCCCTCCCCTCTGGCGCTCCCCTGACTACGCCCCCAACTGCTTCCGAGCAATTGCCTCTGTCCACTTCTCTTCCTCCTGCCAACCAGCATCTTTACCCCCTTCCTGGATATCAGTAGGGTCCTAATTCAGGCAGAGAGAATGTGGGCTCACTCAGGGCCCATTCTCATTCCCTATCTCTTCCTTAACCTCTATGTGCCCAGTTCAGTTGTCTGCACTTTTAATGAGAACCCCCTTACAGGACCTGGTGGACAGAACAGTGAAGCCTTCCCTCCCCACCACCTACAGAGTTCTGCAGGCTGAAGTGTTCTTCAGAGCTTGGGACAGCGAACCAGGCAGAACACAACTGACCTCTGGCCCTGGGATTGCCGAGATCCCAGGGCTAGAGAGCAGGAGGGGGTCTCAGAGAGAGCTATTTCTCAGAACCATCAGAATCACCCCCACCCCCCATCCCCCTAGAGTGGCATGTGCTCTTCCCCACATCAGAGAACTAGGACAGTCCCACTTAGCCCAGTTCTCCCTGTGTTTAGAAACCCCCTGATACACCTTGTCACCATGCTTTGTTTCAAGGAGAATATGTAGCGCGTGGTTAAACCAGTGTTTCTCAAAGTATGGTCTGCAGACCACCTTTATGGAGAACCCCTGAGGTTCTCATTAAAATACAGATTCCTGACTCAGATTCCATGCTCGGCCCACAGTTTCCAAGTCAGAATTTCTAGGAAAGACCTGACAACCTCTATGTTTTTCAGCTAATGTGGTACCACCCTACTGGAAAGACTTCAGCATCTGCCAGACATTTTACTAAATCCACTAGTATTAGCTCATTGAGTTATCACAGCAAATCTATGAGGAAGCATTATTACAATCCCATTTTACAGATAAGGAAACTGAGGCACAGAGAGTTTAAGTAACTTGCCCCATGCCATTCTCACTAATCAAGGAGAGAACTGGAATTGAATCCAGGTCTGTCTGACCCCAGGATCTTCTCCACTATCTTGTTTGCTGCTTCTACCAAAACATTTACTGTCTTATAACACTTGCTGACCTGTCCACCTCCCCCACTGCACCCACTAAATGGGTGCAGATAAAGTTTTAGGTATTCCTTTTTTCTCAGCACCTGGCAATGCTGACATGGACTGGATGCTTGCTGTTTATGTGTTGTATGAATGAATGACTAGAGGCAGAGCAGGAAACAAGAAACATGGCTGTGGAGAAAGGGAAGGTGGGAGGCTGGCTTCAGGACTCCCCTCACTCGGCTGACCGGGGGACTTTTTCAAGGCCGGGGCCCCAGGCTCTAGGCTGAAAACAAACTGCCAAGTCCCAATACTGACTTGATCACCACTGAGCTTGGATAAGAGCAGCTCTGGCTCTTCGACAATTACCTCAGCCCCATACCCATCACCTCTGCCCCAGATGACTTCGTCCAGAACAGCAGAGTAGGTGGTACCTTCCAGGTTACAAAAACCAGGGCCATCCCAGATACGCAAGTACCGTTCATAGGAATGTGCCCACAGTCACAGGAAGCAGCCTCTTAAAGATTAATGCCATTTCCAAATCCACAGTGAGGCTTGGGATTTAACACCAACCATGAGCCCAGAGAGGAGGATAGATGATCTCCCAGAAAACACCTCCCTAGTCTTGGCAGCCAGCTGGAAACCATGCCCCTCCCCTGGTGTGTGGCTCACAGTGTGGTCCAGCAAGGGATGAGGGCATGAAGGCCCCAAGCATTCACTGAGTTCCAGAGGAACCAAGAGAGGGAGGAGGCAAGATGGCAGCCTGCAGGGAGACCACAGCAGGGCACCAGGAAGGCAAGGGGAGGCCAGCACCTCAGGAAGTATGCTTCTGCACAGGACCCAGGCCTATCCAGTATGCAACTGAATTGGGCCTTAAAGGACCTGTATCCAGATTTAACCCTGAGAGAGGATGGCCCCTTGGTAGAATCGAAAGCTTCCTGGAAGAAAGGGGTGGATGAGCCCAGAGGCTCTGAGCCTGTCTCTTACTTGTTTGCTGAGCCTTATAAATTCACCCTTTAGGCACTGTGGGACTGATGATAGGAAGTAGACGGGCAGGGTGCTTCTCCCCCACCTTTGCAGCTCCAGGACCTTCTACCACAGTTCACACGTTAGAATCACACCCAGAAATATTTTAAAAATATGGACGCCTAGGCCCCAACCCGCAGAGATTTTGATTTAGTGAGCTGGGATGGGGCATGGGCATCAGGCTTTATAAGAAAATGACTCCATATAATCTCAAAGTGCAACCCAGATTGACAACCCCCGATGGGGCCCATAAGGGCCCAAGAAATGGGCAGGCCAGACCCCAGCCCCTGCCTCCCTTACCCTCCTTCCCAGGAGACTCCCCCACCCAGGGCCAGCCTACATGTCCTCTCTGCTGCCCCCGCAGGACAAGACCCCCTGTAAAATCTTTGTCCGTCCTTATGGATCACATTCTTTTTTTTTTCCTTAAAGATTTTATTTATTTATTCATGAGAGACAGATAAGAGAGAGAGAGAGAGAGGCAGAGGGAGAAGCAGACTCCCAAGGAGCAGGGAGCCTGATGCGGGACTTGATCCCAGGACCCTGGGATCATGACCTGAGCTGAAGGCAGACGCTTAATCATCTGAGCCACCCAGGCGCCCCATGGATCACATTCTTGTTACTGCCACTCCCTTTGTTGCTGGGAGTGGGTCAATGCCACCCTCCCCCTAGACCCTCAGCTTCCCCAGGACAGGAATCCTGACTTCTGGGTCTGTCCTCTGCCCTGAGTTCAGAGCCAGGAGCTCACAGGAGGGTGGGCCAGGCACCATGCGGAGCCATCTACATGGACTTCCTTATCTGATCCCTGCAACAGTCCAGGTATTTTTGTCCCCATTTTTGAGATGAGAAACTGAGGCTGGGATGGTCTTGGGGTGGTGCCTAGGGCCTACAAGGGTGGCTGCTAACCAGGGCAGAGAAGCCAGGGGACTTCCCAGCAGGGGAGAGGAATCCAGTGACATACAGAGCCACTTCCCCCGAGGGTCTGGTGGGACCCTTTCCTGGAGTTTCCGGGAGTGACAAACTTAGAAAGGTTTTCTTCTTTCCAGTCGCTTCCTTCAACCATATTTGGTCGAGTGCTTCTTGGCCTTCCCTTGCTGATATCTCCTTCAAATGTCACCTTTTCAGAGAGGCTGTGTTTGCCACCCAGGAATAAGCTAGTCCCCTCTGCTCCCTCTCCCCCTTTTTTCCAAACCAGTGTCTCTCCAAGTGGTGTTCTGGGGCTGGTGTCCCCCGCAAACTGTTATCTGTCCAGGACCGGTTAAGTGCAGAAATGGAGAGTAAGTGTAATTCGTTTTAACTGTATTTGACAAAAACATTGGTCTATGACAGACTGGAAACTTTAAAAAGTGGTTCCTCAGCGAGAACAATTTGAGAGACACTGCTAGAAGCCCTTCGCGCCGCCTGACAGTCGCGACTGTTCTCATTTGCCCTCTTCATCCGGCTCCCCCTCCATGCTGTCCCCTCCACACCAAAGATTTGCTCTGCTTTCCTCACTGCTGATTCCCCACGTTGAGGGCAGCGCCCAGCAGGTAGTCGGCACTCAGCACACATCCGCTGAATGAATGATTGAGCGAATGAACGAATCAATCTCAAGTAGATCCCATAACCTTCTGGTTAACTTCTGTCATTGAAACTCAATCCAGTCCAATTTAAAACACCAAACTCATGTCTGTTTCAAATCCCTTCTTCCCCTTCCCCACTCAGAACAGGTCTGACTCACTGTTGAGGGCACTGGAGGGGTGGTTGCTCCTAGGAGGTGGGGTCCTGAGGCATCGCCCTAGGGAGCCCTCATCCTCACCCAGGCAGCCCTCCCACTCCTGCCTCCTCCTCCTTGTCTCTGAGCTCCTTCACCGGAGCCATAGGAGTGGCTGGCCTCCCTTACACCCTCCCAAAGCTGGAGGCCACCAGCAAGCCCCTCCCGTCCTTTATCTTTGTGCGCCCTCCACTCTGCGGCATCCCCCCTTGTCCTGCGGGCACACACTGTCCCAGCCAGCTGCCAGCCTCCTGAAACCTCCAGGCCAGAAGCAAGCCCAGCCTCTGAACTCCTGGGACACAAATCTGGGTGCAGCAGGGCTGGGTTTGACAAGTGTTCCAGCTGGGGAGCTACGTCAGACTCTCCTCTCAGGCCTTTCTAGTCCCTACACATGGTTCTTCCAGAGCCTGCTCCTGGCTGTCCGTGAAGGGGGCACGCTGTCCTTCTCACAGTGGGGAGGAAATCCCGGCACCATGAGGGCTGACCACTGAGCTTCCCTCCCAGCCTCCGGTTTCTTCTACAGACCAGGGCAGGGCTTGGAGCACCAGGCGCTGGGTGATGGTAGAGGTTGGTCCTGCCTCCTCTCATAGACCTGGGAAAGGGGCTCTCTCTGCCCTTTTGTTGGTGGCTTCACTTAAGATGTGGAGGACTTGGCACCTCTTTGTCCCCGGGTGTGAGAGTGTCGCCCTTGGAAGCCCCCCCTCAACATGCTGCTGTATGCTGTCACACCTGGTGTCATGTGAAGAGACCTGTCATGTTGTAGGGGATGAGGTGGGAGGTGGCTGCTGAAAGGTTCAAACAGATGGGGACAGAAAGCTCACTTCAGAGGCAGTGTGGGGGTCAAGACCAGGAGCCGTGGGATGGTCCTCACACCGGGCAGGGGCGGCTGCCCGAGGCCGCATGCTTTAGAGGGCCCTGCTTTGGCCCTTCTCGGGCCATGCCCCTCCCGATGGGGTGAGCACTCTGCGAGGCCGAGGATGCTGCCCACCAGGAGTCTGTGCCTGCCTTCTAGAACACACCCCATGTCCGTGATCTGGAGGGCAGGGTCCCTTATTGGCTCACCCAGAGCAGGCTGGTGTGGGAAGGCCTTAATGATGCTCTGAATGCTCTTCTTCCCCCTTCCGCTCCACCCTTGCCCCCCCACTCCCCACTCCCTTACCCCCCATGTCCTCCCTCTCCTTTTCTCCTCCCACCTGCCCCCACTTTGCTTCGCCCTTCCTGACACCCGTCTCCACCCTCTGCCCCAAGGTGAAGGTCTGGTTCCAGAACCGCCGCACCAAGCAGAAGAAAGACCAGAGCAGAGACCTGGAGAAGCGGGCGTCCTCCTCAGCCTCCGAGGCCTTTGCCACCTCCAACATCCTGCGGCTGCTGGAGCAGGGCCGCCTGCTGTCCGTGCCCAGGGCCCCCAGCCTCCTGGCGCTGACCCCTGGCCTGCTGGGCCCGCCTGCCGACCACAGGGGCACCTCACTGGGTGACCCCAGGAACTCCTCCCCGTGCCTCAACCCAGTGACCTCGGCCTCGGTATCCCCGCCGCTGCCACCCCCAAGGCCAGCCCTCTGCTTTTCCGCTGCCGCGCTCCTGGACCTGCCTGCCTGCTATGAACTCGGCTCCTCGGCCTTCGAGCCCTACAGCCGGAGAGCAGGCAGCCCTGGCGGTGGCAAGAAAGCCAACG